CCCCCCCCCCCCCCCTTGATGTGTTGTCATACAGGCTTAGGCAAGGGAATGATACTGCACTATGCAGCTGGGATCCTAAACGCCAACCTCTCAACCCTATATGCCACACCCCGCCAAGATGCACCATGGCGCGCTAGCAAAAGCTGCTTTCACCTAGGAATTCACTTCTTCAGCGCCAGGCTGGCGCAGGGTTTGGGCGACTGCTTTGGCGAAGCCAGGCAAACCTGTTGGCAGCCTCAGCGCGTGGAGGTCAATCGCATTGCAGGAGTGCAGCATGAAGGGTATTGCTAAGGCAATACGTGCCAAATTGATAGTGTACCTTGCGCCGCAATTCCGTTGTGGGCAAGGGGGGTCCAAGCAGGGAGTGGCCTTGGATGTTCCCTTGGCGCTCGCAAACTTTGGCAAGAGGGGCGATCAGGCGCGATTCTGTTCATGGACGGCGCGTCAGCGTTTTACGCAGCGCTCAGAGAGTTACTCTACGATGGCGAACACAACATGAGCGACCAAGAACGAAGTGTTCGTGTCGTGGAAAAGCTGCATCCAGCTGAAGAGGTCCATTGGGACATCCTGGCAATGTTGATGGTGCCGTCTGTTCTGCAGGAGGCAGGTGTTCCGCACATCCTTAGGAGATTTGTTGCAACGACGCTTGCCAGGACCTGCTACACGATGAGCCTGGGCGGTTCAAACTATTCAAGCGTTTGGGCCACCACCACGAGAGTTACTCCGGGATCGCCATTAGCCGATGCCTTCTTCCAGGCCATTTTCATTCATAGCCTTGATGAGTTTGAAACTCGGATACGGGGTATGCCAGGTGAAAATGCAGTTGAGCAGTCTGAGGCCGCAACTGTTGACCTTCCGCCTGTTGCCACGTTGGTGGATGATGAAGCTACATTGGTGGAAGTTGATGCGCCAGCGATGCTTGTTGGACGCGTGAGTGCTATTGTGACGCATGCACAAGCGGCACTTGCGCATGTAGGGGTGAAAGCAAATTTTGATGCCGGAAAGACTGAGGTGATGTTCATTTTTGTTGGAAAGCACAGCCGACAGCAGAAGTTGAAGTGGCTGGCTGTGCACAGGCCATGAATCGAAGTGGAGCTGCTGAGCGGAGAAGTTGTGCCATTTGTTGTTGCTCCAGAGTATCAGCATGTTGGCAATGTAGTTCAGCATAACGGTGCCGACGAAATTGATGTGGCCAGGCGCAAATTGCTTGCCGAGCACATGTTTGCTCCATTGCATAAGCAAGTTCTTTTCAACCCTCAGCTGGCTTTTCATGAAAAGCGCACGCTGGTCCTTTCAATGGTTGGGCGCAAGCTACTACATGGGTCCGGGCATTGGGCATTACGAAGTGCCAAAGAGGCCCGAATGTTCAAAGCTGGGTATATGCACCACTGGCGGAAATGTGGCCGCCCACTTTTGGGCGTTTCCTTTGCAGAAGTCAATGACGAGAAGGTCTGTGCCATGTAGGGTGTGTTGAGACTCTTCGAGGCGCTTGCTGTTGAGGGAGTTAGGGCGCTTTGAAGTGCCATCAAAGATGATCAAGGTTACCTGGCAGTTGTGTTGGCCAAAGACAGATGGTGGGCGCCGCGTGTTGTAAAGACCTGCAGCTTGCGTTAGAAGGCGCTCAGGTGAAACTTGAGGTTGATTTTCACTCGTCAGGTTGCGTCACGTCGGTGTTGAGCGCAGTCAAGGCGCAGCATGAGACGATTAAACGAGCAATAAGACAATTCATCAAGCGAACCCTGCTACGTCGGATTGCACTGGCTGAAAGGTGCGCTGAGGTAGCCAAAAAAGCATGCAAATGATTTGACAGGGAATTGCTATTAGCAGGCCGAAGCCAACACCTCAAAGCCCGAGCCATCCGTGTGCAGAATGTGGTCGGTTGTTTTGATCGAGGGCTGCAGTTGGAGCGCACCGAGCAAGGGTTCATGGGCAGCGTAAGTGTCAACTCTGCGGTGACTGGCTCTGTGTGCCAGGCATGTCTTGTTGAGTTCCATTGTACTGGCCGTCTCCAGCTTCATGTTCGAAAGTGGGCTTAGTGCAAAGCGGCTAGGTTGATGGCATATGGGGTTGAGAGGTTGCTCGCTTGCTTGAGATCTTGGTTTGTCCAAATGTGGTGCATGACGAATTGCAAGATACTCCTCTGCCATCAGAGTCCGCTGAGACGAATCGGCAGTCAGGACCCTACGCCCCTCCCACCGAAAGCACCACCAGCTTCCCTGAAAGCAGCCAATCACGTGATCCTCAAAAACAGGGGAGGAGTATTCAAAGGAAGTTCATCAAGCAAAGCCTGCAAGTCATCGATTCTGCAATGCCAACTGTAAATGAGGGACTCAAAAGCACCAAAACACTTGGTGATAAACGTGGCCACATTGCGAATGTCGGTGATTTTGGGGCATTCCTCAGCCAGTTTCATTAACACTTTCAAGCGATCGTCTTTCTCTGAGAAATGCGCCCACAACTTCAATGGGTGGTTGAAAAGTGGCCCAGAAAACCTTGGGGCCTGCAACCTTCATCGCTGGCTTCCAAGCTCGATTCCGACTGCCAGCTCGTTGTCCTGATTCTTGGATAACACTCGCTATATACTCTAAACTGTGCGGCAGCTAAGACATCTGCCTCCAGCCCACCCCCACCCCAAGATGCACCATGGCGCGCTAGCAAAAGCTGGCTGCCCAAGCCCAGTTTCTCTCATGAGAGAATGATGTGGTTGATGAGGGACATGTTTCCTTGGGTGAATGTCGGGCACGCGAATGCTGAGAGATACCCAGTTGATCCTCCGCTATAAAACATGCCATGACCGAATCTATTCGATCGACATCGATTTATCGATTCGATTTCCAGCGATCTACGGC